CCCCTTTTTTTTTCCCCCCCTTGGTGAGTTGATTCTTGTTACAAGAGCACTTCAAACGTGAACTCCCCCTGCTGTATTTTGTAGTTAATAGGAGCACTTTGCCAGGCTACATGTTTGTTCACTTGAAAATTTATCATGCTGACTCTGTGCCCCTGTCCTTTGCCCCCCTCTCCCCCCTCCCCCAAAAGAATATAATTTAATTCTTAAAGAACAGTCCATGTTTACCTGACTGCAAGGTGGCAACATTTTAGCTTTTGCGTTCTGTTTAGGTCATATCTGTTTCTCAAGATCGTTAAATGAATTCCATGTTAGGTTAGTCTTTTGGTTATTAATAAGGTGCCCTTCCTCTTTGTTTTAGTTTAGGGGAAGAGTAGGGAGTCTCGTCTTGCTTTCCTCCATGCCTCCATCTTTCCACAAACATGCTTTCTGGTGTTGTAGGGTGCAATTCAGAGTTGATTGGCTTGATGTCAGATTTTCAAAGCAGTCATTGATTTTTGGGTACCTCAGCTTTTTGGCGTCTATTTTAAAATATGTTGGGCCTGATTTCTAAAGGTTATGCTGGATGATTAGTACTTTGAAAGATATGGTACCAAATAAAACCCACTTTTTAAAAAATTTAGTCCAGTGGCAGGCCTTTGTTCTGATTTGATAACCTTGTATCAGGTAGAATCAGTAGCAAATTTGTGATTTGTCATTTCTGTGCCTAAGTTCTGGAACCGGAAACAATGAACACCAATTAAATGTGCTCCTTCATCATTAGTCCTAGTGTTTTGGAAGTAGCATAAACAATGTTGTAACATTTTTTGGCATGGCTCTTTTTGGATTAAATGAAAAAACTCAGCCTCCTAGCTTTAGATAAGGTGGGTAGGAACTTTCTATTTAGTAACGTATTTACCTCTACCATGGTTGTAGCTGAGCATTTAGTAGCAAATAATGAGTAATTTAAAGCATTAAGCATTAAAAAGTAACATAACTTAGTATTAATGTAAGATTTGACCAGTAAATGTATCTTGTTTTTTTAAAGTATCTTTACACTGAGTTACATAAGCTGTGAGGAAGAAATGTTTGTTTTATAACTGTAGTATACAGAAAATGTTTCTTTGCATATACAAAGCCTGAAACCATAGGGTCATTGTCAGTTCATATGTTTCCATTTAACAACTTCATAAATTGCCATTTGTTGAAGTTGTGTGGTAATTACCTAGCTGTTTTTTTTCCTATTGGTCTCATTTAGACAAAAGAACAGAATGCTTTTGAAGTAAATTAGAGTTATTTCACCACAGGGGACACTAAATTTAGTCACACTACAAAAGGCTTGACATAATTGAAACTTTGGAAGAGTTATTTGCTGCTGTTTGTAGAATTGCTATAATAAACTAAGCATTGTATGTCACATTTTTAATCATGCTTTTTTATCAGTAGTTTATGAATAAAGAAGTATCGTATTTTAAAAAGATAATTCTTTTGCTAACTCTGAGGTTTTCTTTTCCCCCTTTTATTATCTCATATAAGATTTCTTATATCCTGATCTGGAGTAAATGGTTTTATATGAGGTTCTTAACCATGCTAATATTAGTTGTATTTGAATTCAGAATTTTTAGAGAACCTATAAAATGTATGCTGATTTCCAGTATTCTGTTACTGACTTTAGTGTTTTGTTCTTTTGTCTTACTTTCCAGTTCTTTAATCAGGTGCTTATGCTTGGGAAAACTTCTATCAGTGATCTGTCAGAGCATGTCTTTGACTTGATTCTGGAGCTGTACAATATTGACAGTCATCTCTTGCTTTCTGTTTTACCGCAGCTTGAATTCAAACTTAAGGTAAATGTTGTAATATATATTATGTTTTGACCCTCTGTTTTTTCCCTCTTTCTTTTCTGCCACAGGCTGGGGGGCTTTTCCTGTAGGAGGCAGTCTGTCCCTACCTTTTAACTTGTATCGTAAATGCCTACTCATTTTTAACATTTTACTTAAAGGGACTTTAAATTATATTAAAATACATTAAGGACATAAGGACAGATAGGGAAAGTTTTAAATGTGAATTATTATTTATAACTAATATAGAATATTAATAATATTATTGTATACTCAAAGTATTTAGCAGCAATTTTAGTATTTGCTATCGCTAAGCCCTCTTAAGCATAGACCAAGCCACCACTTGTGCTGCTCTCTTTTTCCCAGCATTTCTCTCCAATCACAAGAGTTAAGTTTCTAGTACAACTACAAAGCTTAGGAATACAAAAATCCAATGCCTGTTGACCCAACTATGTTGCTAAACCCTAATATAGAAGCAAAAAAGTTTTTTGATGACGACTTATTGTATTTGGATACTTTGCTTAAGCCAAACTGGTAAAGAACTCTTTTGCTAGTTTAAGCTCTGTCTTCACTGGGTATTAATTGAAGTTGCTGCCTGAATACCAGCAACCATTTTTAGGGCTATATCTACTTATAAAGATTTTTTTTTTCTGAGGTGGGGAGGTGATGTTTTTCTTGGCTTGCAGCAGCTGACACCATCAAGCTGCCAGAGCTAGTGCATACTTCAGCATGTGTGCCCATGTTGCACTGTGAGTAGCTGTGTAGGTCAAAGGCAGAATGTATCGGGTATATGCAGTCCAATGGCTCTTGCAGCAGCTTCTAGTGCAAAAGCAATGTGAGCAATGAGTGTTGGCTATAGCTAAGGCTGGGGACGTCAACTGGTGTGTGCCAATTCTCCTGCTAGCAGAAAAGCCAGAAGTTCATGGCTAGAGAGTCCTGCATCTTTGCTCAGGGTCAGACTAATTGTCTTATTTGGGGTCAGGAAGGAATTTGACTCCATGGTCAGATTGGTATTGACTCTGGGGTTTTTTTTTTTGTCGTCTTCTGTAGCAGGGGGCATGGCCCTCTACTTGGGACTTCTTGAGCATATATTGACAACATTTTATAGAAGCAGGACATTGGCTGCTGTGGTTCCCCTGCTTTTACCTGTGGGAGGTTAGGGCTAAGTTGTGTCAGGGTTGAGCGTAGTCTTATGTAGAGTTTAGATTAGGGTTGTATGGGATGGTTTTGGATGGGAATGATCATGTCTTGGGCAGGTTGGGACTAGATGACCTTTGGAGGTCCCTTCCACCTACTTCTCTATGACTGTGACTAAATACTGTTGGTTTTTTTGGAAGGCACAACCTATTTTCTATTTCCCTGGCTCATGGGGCTGTATTCTGGAAGTCTAGAGAGCAGCAAAGAGCAGTTTACTGCCTGAGTAGATGCAGATTAACACTTGAACAAGCTTTGGGGCATTTTGAAGGCACGTGGGACACACTTTGTCACAAGGGAGTCAAATGTCTCCATCGCTGCTGCCTGCTGTGCGCTGCACAATATATGAGGCTGTGAAAAGAAAGTTTTACTAATGGGTTGGCAGGTGGAGGTATAGAACTTGTTCTGATTCTTGAGCAGCCAGATCACAGAACAATAAATAAAACCTAATTTGATGCTGTTTAGCTGAGGGAGGTACTTCACTGCTGAATCATCACCAATCTGGGTTTTCCATTCGCCATGGAAAAATGTGGCAAAACCCAGATTCTCTCATTTTAAGGAGGAAAAACCTAGATTTTCTCATTTTAAAAGAGAAAAACATGTGAAATGGTGGGTTTCCCATTGCAGGTTGGCAGAATTCCAGCCTGCAAGGGGCTGTGGGGAGTGGGAGGAGGGCAGTTAGCAGGAGGTGCCATGTGCTTGTGTGCATGTCTACATGCACATGTCCACCAGGCAGCCTGGAGAACAGCTCCCCGCAGGTAAGACTGGCAGCGAAGGAGGGCAGGGAGTTGAGGCCCCCATAGTGACTGAGGCAGCTGGGCAGGGCTGGGGCTGCCACCCAGCCTGGGTAGTGGGTGGGGCTTGTGGCCGAAGGCTGGAAAATGTAGCTGCATGGAGTGGGACAGAGCCATGGATGGCTTGTTTGGAGAGGGGGGGAGGGTTGGCTCCCTGCCTCTGCACATACTCCTGGGGGCCCTGCATGGAGGGCATGTGCCCTTCAGATTTGTGTGTGGGGACTAGGCCGGGCTGCGCACTGCAGGCTTGGGCTCTCTGCCTTGCTGCCTTCCCTTCTGCTGCTTTCCCCCTTCCCACCTCTCCAGGGCCTCTGCAGCCCAGTGAGTGGGACCCAGCACAGCAGAGTGGGGTGGGAAGCTTGATGCCACCGTGAAGGAGCTCCACGCCACTATGGCAAGGTGCCCCCTGCTTGTCCAGCAGCAGAGGGGGTGGCAGCACAGAGTTGTGCCCCTTACTGCTGCTGGATGCCCAGGGGGTGCCTTAACATGGCGGCACAGAGCTGCCAGTAGTGGCAGCGAGCTTCCCCGCCTGGTCCTGCTCTGCCCTGCAGTGCTGGGTCTCACCTGCTGGGCCATGGAGACCCCAAGGGGAGGGCAGAAGGGTGGGGAGCCTGAGCCTGCAGTGGGCAGCTTGCATCTGTCCCCTTCCCCTCCCACCATGGGCTCTGCTCTGCCCATACCATCCATGGGGCGGGGGGAGCCGGGCTCTGCACTCTGTTCCACTGCAGGAGCTGCTGTCTCCCACAGGCAGGAGCTGCTGTCTCCCACAGGCAGCAGCCAGGGCTTGGGTGCTGCTGGGGGAGCGCAGGAGGCTGTGGACTTGGTTCCTTGGCAGCTGGGGGCCCCTTCCAACAGGGCTGTGGGTGAGGAGTACAGAGTGCCAGCAGGGCCCAGGGGTCTGTGGGTGGGGAGTGTGGGGTGCTA